GCCTTTTAAATGCTGGGATTATAGGCATGTATCACCATGCCCAGCTCAGACTTTTGTAAAATTATACTTTATCTAAATGGATATTTAGTTATTGGAGGTGGAGCACATGCCATGATGCACATTGTGTGGAGGTCCTGGGCATCGAATTTAGATCTTAAGACTTGGTAGTGTACCTGCTGAGCCATCCTACTGTTGCAGGATCTTAATGGCTCCCTCAGGGGAGGGGGTGAGGAGGAGTGGCGTTAACAACACAGACACTGGGAGTCAATTGAAGGCCAGCAGCAACCCATTTATTGAATAAAGGGGAAGGCCTTATACACCCTCCTCCCAGCACCCAAGCTGTGTCCTGATCCCGTGACATTGCGTGGTTGCCCCTCATTGGCTAGGCACAATCAGAAACTCTGATGGCGCCTGTTGCTAGGCCCTCAGGCAGATTCCAGGTTGGCTCATAAGGAAGTACATTATATGCATGCCTTGGCAACTGGTTTGAGCCAATTTCCTCGACCCTATGGGCCTGTCCTACTACATCTTACCAGCCCTCAGTTAAACATTTTTTAATCTTTTAGGCTGGGTGTGGTGGCATACCTTCAATTCCAGCAAGGAAGCAGAGCATGTGGATCTGTTAAGTTCAAAGCCAGCCTGGTATACAAAGCTCAAAAGTAAAAATAAAAAGAAGAATAAAAGAAGTTTTAATCGTTTAATTTGGATAATTCGAAGAGCAAAGAGCCAGGCATGAGACCTCATGCCTACAATTCCCAAACTCAGGAGGCTTAGACAGGAGAATTGCCAGTTGAGGGCATTCCTGAGGTGTATACTGAGTCCTTACCTCAAAACAAGCAACCTTTTAAGGAGACAGATCTGCTATTTTCTTCCTCCTTTCCCCCTGTTCAGAAAGAGCCAGATCCATTTATTCCTCAGATTCATTGACAAAATTAGAGTTGTTATATGATGAAATGTGTTGGAATTTTGTTGTTGTTGGGTTTTGTTTTGTTTTCTTGTTTTTGAGACAGTCTTACTATATACAGCTCTGGCTAGCCTAGAATTTGTTTTGTTGACCAGACTGGCCTTGAACTCTGTTTCATAGATGCTGAGATTCAAGGCCTGTGCTACCACACCACGTGTTGGTATTTGTTGTAGCTGAGTCATCAGGCCATTGATGAATCTCTGAATTTTGAGTCCTGTTTAAAGCTGATAATTAGAAATAAAAAGTTGTAGTTGTTTCAGAAAGACCTCAGTAATCTCACTTCAAAGGCACTCCTTTGTCAGGGGCTTGGGAATCAGGTGAAAGCAGGTTCTCCGAGGCTTTTTTAGTTGACTTGAGTGATTATGGTAAGCTGGTTTGCAGGATTACGTTGCTGCGTGGATTCTGCGTGGATCTTGCTTTGACATGAAAATTGTGTTGACTCCATGGAAACATTAGATTTCTATTCTGATTTTGGTTACAATGGCTGTCACTTACAGTTGTGTCACTTGTACTTATCCACAGCAATTTAGATTACTGATGCAGGGGCTTGCCTTGTAGTTATTGTGACCTCATTTTCAGCTTCAGCTGGAGCAAGTTGAATTCTCTGTTTTCATGCCAAAGTCTACTGAACTGATGAGATGTCAGTCTTCTGACGTGGTGCCTCCTGCAGTAGCTGGAGACCGGACTGGGTCTGTGCACTGGCAGCAGACTTTCTCTAGCTGCCACTGTGTGAAGAGCTGGCTCCAGGCGCTGCGGACTTGAGTCCTGTCACTCCTATCTATCTTGTGGATGGTTTTGTGAGATCACGTGACTATTACAGTTGGTTTCCACATCTGGAAGTGGAAATAAAGGGTAGTTCTTTGCTGATGGATTGCTTCTGAGGACTGAAATGAGAATGCATGTAAAGTAGGCAGTATGGGGCCTGGCAAAGAGGAGTTCCTCCGTTCATGCTGGTGGCTGCCTGCTGGCCTTTAGAAAGTTAAAAAAATTTTTTTTTTTTTTAAGAATTATGTGTTTGTGTGCTGAGTGTAGGGTTGTACATGTGAACATAGTGTCTTCTGAGGCCAGGGAATGGTGTTGGGTGCCTTGGAGCTCTAGTCACATGGATGTGAGCCATCTGATGTGAGTGCTGAAAGTTGAACTCCAGTCCTCATCAAACCATCCCTCCAGCCTGCTGGCCTCTGGGAATCAGCAGAAGCTATAGATGCATTGATGAGAAGGCATTTGGTGATTGTTAATTCTTGTTTATGGCTCACTTTAGAATAGATTGGCCAGTGTAGAGTTTTGCTGTGTTTGAAATATGTAGACTTTTTTTGCTGATTTATTTATTTATTTATCTATTTATTTATTTTGAAACAGGTTCTCATGTGGCTCATATTGGCCTGTATATTGTTGTGTGGTGGAGGTTGACCTTGAACATTTGAAATTCCTTCCCAAATTTTGAGATTATAGAATGTGATCCCCAAGTCTGTTGCCTTATATTGAGTTTGGTAACACTGATGTTTTAGGAAGAAGGTTGCTACCTTAGGAGGTAAGCTGCACTGCTTTCTCCAGTCATTTCCAGGGCACATGTTAATTTCATGAAAACTAGTATGATAGATGATCATTGAAAAAAACCTGGACTAAACAACATGGTCTTCTGTGTGTGCAGAAGTAACTGAAGTGAGGAAGCATGCAGGGGCTGGACAGGGGTTGCAGTCATTTTCTGTATGTTCCTGTTTCTTTAGAAGACATTCTCCTCCTCTCCGTCGTGTGTGTGTGTGTGTGTGTGTGTGTGTGTGTGTGTGTGTGTGTGTGTGTGTGTACCAGAGAGAGAGAGTGCTGCTGAGTGCATTTTAAGGTCATTTAACCTCGTGGAGTTGGTCCCTTCGTTTTACATGATTTCAGGGATGGAGTTAGATACCTGGCAAGCACCTTTACCTATTGAGCTATCTTGCCAGCCCTCGTTTCTCTTTAAAAATTGTTTGCCTGAGTCAGGTCTTACTCTTTAGCCCAGGTTGGTCTTGAAATCAAGGCAGTCTTCCCAGGCATTGGGACTACAGATATGGTCACCATGCCTGGCTTTTGTTTTCATTTAAAACAGTTCTTTATTTTATTTTATCTTTTTAAATAAAATGTTCTTGCCATGGGTCTTGCTCTGTAGCCATGGATGGGCTAGAACTAGGTAGCCCAGGCTGTGGTCTCAAACTCTTGATCCTCTTGCTTCGGTCTCCTCAGGTGCTGGGGTTACAGGCGTGTGCTATCATGCCTTGCCTAAAAACATTGTTTAAACTGACTGGGGAGATGGTGCAGTCAGGAGAATGTTTGCCGTGCAAGCGTGAGTGGTCCGAGTTTGGGTCTCACACTCATATAAAAGCTGGGTGTGGTGGCCCGTGCCTGAATCCCAGTATTGAGTCTACTGGGCAAGCCAGCCTGGCCTTCTCCTCCCCGAGGTGGGTAGCGAGTAGTCAGGGAGATGCCCAGTACTGACCTGTCCCCACATGCATGTGCTCGCCTGTGCACATACAGGGCGTTTATCCCCCTCCCCCAGGAAAAAACCTCTTCCCCCCTTTGAAGTTTATTTTATTTTATCATAGTATTTTACATTGTATTTTGACTGCATCTCCCTCCCCATTTCTCCACCTAACACCTTCTGGATCTAGCCCTTTTAGCTCCCCTCCCAACTTCATGTTCTCCTTTTTTTTATTGTTAATTTTTCTTTTTTTTTTTTTTTAAACTCTACCCAGTCCAATTTCTGCTGCCCATGTGCACATTGTTATGATGTCATCCACTGGAACATGATTGACTTACCCTTAAATAAAATACACACACTCTCTCTGTCTGTCTCTCTCTGTCTCTCTCCCTCTCCCTCTCCCTCTCTCTCTCCCAGAAGCCATCTACTGTCATTATCAACTTGGGTAGGGCTGAGGCCTAATGAGCTCCTCTCCCTTTTATACTGGAATAATGACTGGCATTGATAATTATATAGGCAACCACAGCTGCTGAGAATTTATGAGGGCATCGGTCCTGTCATGTTTAGAAGATACTGTTTAGCTTAGTCCTCCTGAATCTCTGATTCTTTTTTTTTTTTGGTTTTTCGAGACAGGGTTTCCCTGTGTAGCTTTGCGCCTTTCCTGGAACTCACTTGGTAGCCCAGGCTGGCCTCGAACTCACAGAGATCCGCCTGGCTCTGCCTCCCAAGTGCTGGGATTAAAGGCGTGCGCCACCACCGCCTGGCTTGAATCTCTGATTCGTAAAGTCTTTCCCTACCCACTCTTCTTTGATATTCCCTGAACCTTGGGAACTCTGGTGTGGCTGAGCACACCACAGACCCTCTGTATTTTGACTACTTGTGCATTAACTGTCTTCCACTGCCCAGAGAAGCTCGTCTGACGAGAACTGAGAGCTGCACTAACATGGGTACAGATAGGTGTGTCTAGAGGTGATTTAATGTTATGTCCAGTTAGCAACATATTAGTAAGTAATAATCACCCCTGGGGTTTAGAACTCTGAAGTCATGGGTTCTTGGCCAAACTTAGAGTGCCTGGCAAAAGTTTCTCCCCATGGAACTGGCCTTGATTCCAATAAAAAGTGGGGGAAGAAATAAAAAAGGGGAAAAGAAAAGAAAGAAAGCCGTTGGCTACCCCATAACGTAGTGTGTCACTATTATTAGACCTATGGGCCTGTCTTCACCAGGCTAGTTATTACTCTAGCTCACAGAGTTCACAACTGGGTGAGATGCTGATGACTTTTCTTCTCTGGCAGCCTTTATAGCAACTTGCAATACTATGAAAGTGAGCAAGCAGGGAGAATTTCTCCATGTCCTGTGACCATTCTTTATAAAACTATAAATTGTTTGTAATAGTTAATAATTATTTTATTATGAATTCAATGAACTTGGGAACTGTGCATTTAAAGTAATATATAAGTATAATTTTCTATTTATCAGTTTAGAATCAGTATTCAGAATGAGAAATTGATATTCTGCATGATAGAATGTAGACAAATCATGATCACATTTATTTTGCCATGTCCTTGACTTTCTTTTGTCTCCCAGGTTAGCCCTGAACTCCTGATCTTCCTACCTCAGTCTCCTGAGTGCTGGCATTATAGGTGAGCCACCATGCCTGGCTTTCTCTGAAAATCCTATCGGTGAGAGAAATGACTCCACAACGTTGTCTTCTGACCTGCACGTGTGCACTCTTGTACCCACATGCATATGTGACATCACATATATACACAAATAATATAATAAAAATGTATGTGTACACGGTGGAACTTAATGGCTGTGGTTTGAAGCTGTGTGAGGATTTAGTTGTCAGTGTGGATAGTGCGAAGAAAGCTGCTGAGTGAGTTTGGAACAAAGAAAAATTGGAAAAATTTAATTTACCAACTTCTTTTCCTTTATTTGCAAAATAGCTCCCATTTCTGATAGGTTTAAGTAGAGTGGACAATTGAGGACAAGCTCAAAAGAGGTCCAGGGTGTGGGAAATCGGGAAAAAGTCCTGTGACTGTAACGAGACAGCTGCTCCGGCTTTTGCATCCTCCCGGCCTCTCCTCTTGTTTTGCCTGAGTAGCAACAGCAGAGATCATGAACTTGGAGATTACTGGCATCTTTTCAGGGTCTCACTCTCCCCCCTTTCATGTTTGAGAGCGAGCCCCACAGTGTAGTTCTGGCTGGCCTGGGAATTGATATGTAAGAATAGCCTGGCCTCATACTTGCAGTTGTGTCCCTGCCCAGCCTCTGCCTCCTGATGCTGGGATTACCCCAGCCTCTGCCTCCTGATGCTGGGATTAATTACCCCAGCCTCTGCCTCCTGATGCTGGGATTAATTACCCCAGCCTCTGCCTCCTGATGCTGGGATTAATTACCCCAGCCGCTGCCTCCGGATGCTGGCATTACCCCAGCAGCAAATAATTCTTTAATTCTTTTAGATTTTTATTTTTCTACTTGAAGTTGAATATTTTTCTCATGAGAAGTTAGCCACTAAAATATTTATTAGTGTTTTAATTTGGATTGTTAATTTTGGTAATGTTTTGTTTTAAAGTTGTATGGGTTTTGAATGTCCTGTTTTCCCCTTATAAATCCCTGTTGTCTTCAGCATTGGACTTTGCATAAATTTTCCACCAGTCTGTGTTGTTTTTATAATGTATAGTAGAAAACACCTTTATGTGCTTTTGACTGGCACTGTGCAGTTGTCCAATGAGGTCAGCTACCTTCCCTTTCTATTTCCTCAAAGGGCCACATCTGTAATCTCAACAAGGCAGAGTCAGGAGGAGGATTGCAACTAGTAGCCAGCCTGGTCTACATAGTGAGTCCTGGATAGCCAGGGCTACATAGTGAAATTTGGTCTCCAAAAGCCAACCATCAAACAAAAAGGCTGAGAATGGTGGTTCACACCTGTAATCCTAACACTTTGGAGGGGGAAGCAGGAGGGTCAAGGAGTTGAAGGCTAGTCTTGGCTACAGAGCAAGTTCAGGTCAGCCTGGGCCACATGAAACTGTGGCTCAAAACAAAAACAATGTTAATACATAGATCCCAAAGTGGGGCAGTTATTATTTAGTATGTGAGTACCGCCTTCCCCTCTGGCACTGCCTGGTCAGCCCAGCAGCTCCATACCCTGGTGTACTTGTTCCTACCTCATCTTAGCTGCTTTGTTCTTATTCTCAGGCTCAGCCTTGAGATTGCCATGTACATTGAAGTGACGCCCACCCCATGTGACCCCTGTGGCCCCTCATTTCTGTTACCATTTTACCTTGAAAAATCCTTCCTCCATTGATTCCCTCATCCCCTTTCTGCATAATTTAAACTTGATGAGAATAGGGATGTGTAAACGGGAGCTTTTCTGTCCTGCCCTGTCCCACAGCCATTTGTAAATAATCACTCAGAGGCTTAATATTAACTACAAACTGGCCTGTTGCTCAGGCTTTTTACTAACTAGCTTTTACAACTTAAATTAACTTATTTGTAGCTAGAGTTTTCTCTCCAGGTCCTGCCAACCCCCAGCAGTCCTGTAACCCACTTATAAAATAAACATACAGACACTTATATTATTTAAACTGCTCTGCCATTAGCTCAGGCCTACCATTGTCTAGCTCTTACTCTTATACTCAGCCCATTTCTGTTAATCTATATGTCGCCACATGTTCCGTGGCTTTACCTGCTGCCTTTACATAATGCTTCCTGGACGGCAGGCTGGTGTCTCCTCCTGCCTTCCTGTTTTCTCAATTCTCCTCTCTGCTAGTCCCACCTATACTTCCTGCCTGGCTACTGGCCAATCAGTGTTTTATTTATCAATCAATCATCCACAGCACCTATTTCTATTAATCTGTATTTTGTCGTGTGACCATGTGTTACCAGTCTGCTGGCATCTTGCTCCTTGGGTGACTGGATGGTGTCTGTGCCTGACTCCTCCCTTCTTCTCCCTGTATCTCTGCTTGGATTTTTCACTCGTGGCTCTTACCCTGCTTTGCCATAGGTAAAAGCGGCTTTATTTATTAATCAATGGGAACAACACATATTCACAGTGTACAGAAAGACATCCCACATCAGGGATGGGTTCTGTCTTCCCTGTGACTCTCCCCAGTACCTGGAACAGGATCTGCAGGTGTTTAGTTAGTAGGGATAATTGATAAACTGATAATAAAATATTTGTGCTAAGATATTAGATTTTAATAAGATACATTTCATTTTTCTCAGTAATAGGAGGTGGGCTAAATATCACCAGTTATATTGAAGTGAGTTGAGGAAATTTTGTAGTTTACTTTTAGCTACACTTAGCTGTGATGTGGTGGTGTTTAACTCTGATGTACTTCCTAAAGTTGACAGTGAGTCAGAATCAGATGAGTTGTGCTGTAGCTTTTGGTTTTATTCAAAAAGGAGCCTCATTGGCATGTGGAATATAGAACTCTGACTGAAGGACTCCCCTGGGAGAAGAGCACCAGGCCAGCTGGGCTGTCCGAACAACCAAACCAGGCCTGTCTGAGCACCGGGAATGTTTTGACCACAGCAGCCTTTCTAGTAGTCTTGCCCTTCACCCACTGGAAGTGTGAGAGTGTCTGAATTTGACTTTTTCACTTTACCTGGAACACCCCTGCAGACTCTGAGCAGTATAGCTGAGGAGGGCACATGGTTGTATCAGAATTGATTGCTTCCAGGTGCTGCACCAGGAGATGAGTGTGGGGACTGAAGTAGTAGGTAGCCATTTATAGAAGGAAGGCTGGGCCTTAGTCTACTCTGGATGTCACTTAAGATTGTTATTTATGGTACGTAAAATGAATAGAAAAATCTCTTAAAAAAACAGTAACAAGTGAGGCTGCAGAGAAACTCAAACCTCTAAAAAAAAAAGATTGTTATTTATTCAGAAGTGACATGTGTCTCTTCCCCTCTGCCACCCAGCTTTTCCAGATGAGCCTGTTTTTAAAATGGGAACCAAGGGTACTCTTGATAGTAGCTGTACTTTTCTTCAGTCCGTGTAGGCAGTGTGGTGCTGACAGCGCCTGTCCTCAGAAGGAGCTCCACAGTGGGCACCTAGTGGTATTGAAGGCACTTAGGGGAGGCCAGCGAGTTCTTTATACAGATATTGGGGACATTGTGATTTCTGCAGAAATAAATCTAATGAAGATCTATTCTATCTGTTTTACACTATGTGTACGTATGGATTTCTGTGTGTGGGACACATGAGTGCGGGTGTTCATGGAGACCAGAGTCCTTGGAGCCTCTTCTGGAACAGGAGTTAAGTCACCTGATATGGGTGCTGGGAACCATACTTGGATTTTCTTTTCTTTTTCTTTTTATTGTTTTTGGTTTTTTTGAGACAGTTTCCCCGTGCAGCTCTGGCTGTCTGGAACTCACTCTGTAGACAAGCTGGCCTCAAGCTTTGAGATCCGCCAGTCTTTGCTTCCTGAGTGGTGGGATTAAAGGCATGTGCCACCACCTCCTGGCTGTTCTTTTGTGTTTTTCTTTAGTTGAGGTTTCACTCTGTACCCCATGGTGTCCTGCACCTCACTCTAGCTCAAGATAATCTCAAACTCAGGGTGATCCTCTTGCCGCCCTCACCTGACTGCTGGGGATTCTCAAGGTGAGCCGCCTGCCTCCTCTGGGCGCCTCTTTTGAATTCCATTTGCTTCATCTTTAACACCCTGGACTGGGAGTTGTTCTCTCCATCTCGTTACTTCCAGTCCTTTAACTACATGTATGACCAAACATGTTGGTGAGATTACTTGGAAGATGTGCTGTACTGATGCATTTCTCGGATACTTGGCTTAGAATTAGCCTCAAAGAAAAACTCATAGCTAGCTGAAGAGAAACTCGTATTAGTTAATTTCACGAGCAGTTTAGAGACATTAGTCATATCCTCTTAAACTGTAGAGACTACTAAACGAAATACCGACCAACCAAACATGTTTGAGAATGATTTTTTCCTCTAATGCATGTTGGCAGGGCGGTTTTGAAAATCAAACCACTGTTTAAGCATTAAGGTTTCACCTTGCTCTGTGTACACATTTTAGAAGCATTGTATTAAAATATATTAAATAATTTGAGAAAATCCTCTGCATTTGTAATTTTTAAAGTAAAATCACTTTATTGTAGGTGTTTGTAATCTTTTAAAAACTGAAAGTTTCAGGAGATGGCCCTTTTAACTAATTGATAGTCTGCACCTGTTAGAAGTATTTTGTAGTAGACAAATGTGAGTGATGTGTGAGTGGTAAAGGGAAGGGAAAGAGGGTGTTGGCATAAATGTACCAGCTTGGTCTTTTCTGGCAAGTAGTTTAGTTTATGTCTAGCACAAGTTGTAAGGAGCAGGAGGCAGGTGAGCTTCTACTCTGCTGGAGGGCATTTTCTTTGAGATGGATCTGGGGAGGATTGTTCTGAGCAAAACAGCCTGGTTTCAGCTTTGCAACTAGTGTAAGTTTGAGCAGGGACACTAATTCTGCAGAGTAAGGAAGTTGAGCTGGTACACAGTGTGTGGTCGGTGTGGATGAGGGCACGCATTCTGGCTGTATTGTAATCTGTGTTCTTATGTCTGAAGAAAGCATTGGGAACCTACCAGCCTCCATTGGATATTTCTGTACCCATGACCTTCATTAAATTCAGTGGGCCACAAAACAAA